GGGTTGGGGGGGGGGGATGGGGTCGATTTAAGATCAGATAATCTCAAACTACTGCAAATTGCGTTGAAGCATAAGAGAGTCGCTTGTAGATGAGCTGAAAGACCACACTAACGGCAGAGGAAAACACGAAAAGTGTATGCTTGAAGAAGCAAAAATAGGTAAAGGAGGCTGGGATCAGCAGTTGATGGAACTTGGACTGTATCGACCATGAACTGACCAGCATTGGAGTTGTTGGTCAGTGCGTGGTCAGAAGGCAGTGGCTAACTGAATAACCAAATTGTAGCAACCAGATTGACCCTGGAAGTAACTAAATGGCAAAGGCGCAATAGATTATAGCATGAAAGAACAGTATGAGAAAAGAAGGTAAGAGTGAGATAAGACGTTTCGATCCATTAAGTCATATAAGCCTTAAGTCAACATCGTGACAGGACTTCGTCAGTATGACGGTCGCAGTGCTTAATGGAAAAGGAAAGAAAAAAGAGACAGGAAGAAACAGAAGGGGCAACGATACGATTGAGTCGTGTTTTTACTGATTTGCTTTCAGGCTTCGTCTTCGGAAGTCCTCATCAGCCGTCCTGCTTTAGCAGCTGTTTCTGGGAACGGTGGTTTTGAAAACGGTTTTGACAGATCATCAAAAGTATGTTTTTAAATAATCTCATGCCTTTTTTAATGAGTTACTGTCAGTGTATAAGGAATGTTATTATATATAAGAATGGCTGAAATGTTGAATAGTTTCGGCCGCGTTTGTTAAGGCCGCATTGTCACTGTTTGGGAGATCCCGTGCGCGTCGGGATCTGATTTCTTTTTTGATTAAACCCCACCGGTATTGCAGGGCTGCCTCAGTACGGGGCCCGTGAATGGCTTCGTTTCGCGTAGCGACTTGCCATTTTATCAGCTGGTCGTACTGGCAGCAAAAGTTCTTAAGGGTCTCCACCTCCTCCGGCGTCCCATTTGCGTCTTTTGATGGCTACAGCAAAAAAAAAGTATTGCATGGATCGATGATTTGTTTCATCCCTTAGCTGTAAACACAGACAGATGAGACATGGTCCTGTTCTTTTGCATATTATATCAGGATAATTTCTCACTTCCAGGTTGGTGGAGTATTGTCACAAGCTGTTGCCAAATATTCATATGATCCGCAACGCGAAGATGAACTAAGATTGTGTAAAGGTGATGTAGTAACGGTGTTGGAGAAAAGCTCCGATGGTTGGTGGAAAGGAAAGGTGGGGTATATTTTACTGTTCTTTTATTTTCCATATTTTAAGCTCATAGAAGATTTGCGTCTTTTGATGGCTAAAGCATGAAAATTTTTGTGAATTCCTTTGGGTGTATGATGTAGATTTGATTTCTTCACAAATCCCTTTGAGCAGATAACTGAGGGGATGTGATTTCTTCCTGATTTATGTTTCCCATATTAAGTATAGGCTCGCTGCACTTACAATTAGTGCCCTGTTATGAGATCTAATTTTTAAGAAGTTGTAATTGTTTCAGTGCCGCGAACACACGGGATGGTTCCCTTCAAATTATATCGACGAATCGCCTCCGAATACTTTTGGAATGCCAAAAAGTAACATCGAAATTAGGAATGGCTTTAGCAAGGTTCCACTGTGTTCTTATTTTCTCTGAAAACACAATTTCACTATTCGTTTTCATTTTTTTCAAGAAAAAATAACACAATTTCGCTATTTGTTTTCATTTTTTTCAAGAAAATTGTCGAATTTCTGGTACCGTTTTTTGCAAGGATGATGTAAAACTAATGACTCTAGTGATATTTAATTTTTGTTGAACACCGCATACTCATTTTACATTTTCTTATTCTTGGAATATTTGGGGGGAAATTTTCCAGCGATGCATCTGACAAGTTTTCTGTTTTGCATTGGCCAGTGCTGCTTCGGCTGGTGGTTTTAGATTCT